ACTTCTTTTGGTGTTTTTCTTTTCGGATCAATTGGCGTCTAACCACGTGTTGTTGGGTTAAGGGACAGTCGGAAAATTTTTAACGCTTGCTTTATTATGGTGGTTGAGTCTGTCGTTTGATTTTTTGAGATTGAATTTTTCGTATTTCCAGGAAAAAATTTAGTTTTTTTATGACAATTTCTGTTGTCCTTTTTAGACCCGTTGATATCTAACCACGTGTTATTGGCTCAGTGCACGCTCGGAAAAAACTTAAGGTTGTTAAATGCTAGTGGTTGTATTTTTCATCTGTTTTTCTTAGATTGCACTTTTCGTATTTCCAAAAAAAAAGGATTTTTTTCGAAGTTTGTTTCGACAGTTATTTTCATCTCAGCTTTTTTGGATGTCTGCAATGATACAATTTCGTAATATCGCAAGTGATGCGAAGCTCCGCTTCGCCCCTGTGTTTAATTCTTGTAACGTTCTTATTTGCATGGCCGCAACATATTTTTCAGTTACTGTTTTCATTTGTTTATTCATTCCCGTTTATTAGAAGAGCAGGAGTAGCTTCATAGACATTTTTCTACGCTTTGGATTGAGTTATTATGAGTTTGCAAAATTTCTTGTAGATTTGAATGCATTTGTATATTTTAAAGTTTCATAGTAATTTGATTGGTACTACAAATTTTGCAAAGCTACCCTTCGCCTCTGTATAAATTGTTTCCTTCCCACGTACTACTATGCTTGACACCTGCGATGAAATAACCAAATCCATATATTTTCATCGGGAAAAGTTTGATTTTGAATTTGTTCCAAATAGTAGAATATTAAGAACGCCAACATCGCAGGAATCGTTTAGAGTTTTACTGTGCTTCGTTTTTGGCCTGTTTTCAAAAAAATTGCCTATCGCGAATTTATTTAAACCGTAACAGGGTCTTAATAGGTTTTTGGAGAGCTCGGAAATTATTTTGATCAATCTAAAAAATCTCTAAACAGTCTAGTTTTTTTGGATAGCTCAGAAATTATTTTGATCAACCTAAAAAAAAACTAGAGGCCAGCTAAAGCTGGAAATACGTTTGAAAATTTTCTATTGATGCGGACGGACAATGTTTATTTCAAAAACGGACCTATGGCAAAGAAATAGTCATTTCGAAAACTGTTAATTTCATCAACTACTAGTTCTCTTATTAATTAAAGAGATTATAAGAGGTTGTTAGCTTGAAAGATGTTTAAAACTTTGCTCATTAGATTTGGTTGGGTATTTTTCGAGAGGAGTACAAAATTTCAAAAACGGTAAGAAAAATTGAGAATATTGATGGACATCAATTTTGGTGTAAGAAATGTGAATATATTTATGCAGTGGAGTTTTTTTTCCGATTAGAATTTTATTCGACATATTGATTTCGGCTTATACTTTGTTGGTTGTTTTTTTGGTTGTACTTTGGTTCAATTTACCTTTCACAATTTGTTTTTCTATTTTAGAATAAATCAGGTTGGTAGTAGAAAAGTAAAAAGTTCAAGCTTTTTATTCGCTCAAATTTTTTCGATTATAATTTCCTTGACATTTTTTGTTTTCTGATCAATTGGCGCATAACAACGTTTTGTCGGCCTAACAAACAATTGGAATCTACTAAAATCTTGGTTATTGCTAAAAGTTGTGTCTTTTGTTCGTTGTGTCTTTTGTTCGAAGTTTGTTTCGACAGTTATTTTCATCTCAGCTTTTTTGGATGTCTGCAATGATACAATTTCGTAATATCGCAAGTGATGCGAAGCTCCGCTTCGCCCCTGTGTTTAATTCTTGTAACGTTCTTATTTGCATGGCCGCAACATATTTTTCAGTTACTGTTTTCATTTGTTTATTCATTCCCGTTTATTAGAAGAGCAGGAGTAGCTTCATAGACATTTTTCTACGCTTTGGATTGAGTTATTATGAGTTTGCAAAATTTCTTGTAGATTTGAATGCATTTGTATATTTTAAAGTTTCATAGTAATTTGATTGGTACTACAAATTTTGCAAAGCTACCCTTCGCCTCTGTATAAATTGTTTCCTTCCCACGTACTACTATGCTTGACACCTGCGATGAAATAACCAAATCCATATATTTTCATCGGGAAAAGTTTGATTTTGAATTTGTTCCAAATAGTAGAATATTAAGAACGCCAACATCGCAGGAATCGTTTAGAGTTTTACTGTGCTTCGTTTTTGGCCTGTTTTCAAAAAAATTGCCTATCGCGAATTTTTTTAAACCGTAACAGGGTCTTAATAGGTTTTTGGAGAGCTCGGAAATTATTTTGATCAACCTAAAAAAATCTCTAAACAGTCTCTAGTTTTTTTGGATAGCTCAGAAATTATTTTGATCAACCTAAAAAAAAACTAGAGGCCAGCTAAAGCTGGAAATACGTTTGAAAATTTCTATTGATGCGGACGGACAATGTTTATTTCAAAAACGGACCTATGGCAAAGAAATAGTCATTTCGAAAACTGTTAATTTCATCAACTACTAGTTCTCTTATTAATTAAAGAGATTATAAGAGGTTGTTAGCTTGAAAGATGTTTAAAACTTTGCTCATTAGATTTGGTTGGGTATTTTTCGAGAGGAGTACAAAATTTCAAAAACGGTAAGAAAAATTGAGAATATTGATGGACATCAATTTTGGTGTAAGAAATGTGAATATATTTATGCAGTGGAGTTTTTTTTCCGATTAGAATTTTTATTCGACATATTGATTTCGGCTTATACTTTGTTGGTTGTTTTTTTGGTTGTACTTTGGTTCAATTTACCTTTCACAATTTTTTTTTCTATTTTAGAATAAATCAGGTTGGTAGTAGAAAAGTAAAAAGTTCAAGCTTTTTATTCGCTCAAATTTTTTCGATTATAATTTCCTTGACATTTTTTGTTTTCTGATCAATTGGCGCATAACAACGTTTTGTCGGCCTAACAAACAATTGGAATCTACTAAAATCTTGGTTATTGCTAAAAGTTGTGTCTTTTGTTCGTTTTAATGAGATTGAATTTTTCGGAATATGTCGAACTATGTCAAATTTTTCGAAGTATGAATTTTTTATAACAACCTTTTTTTGATGTTTTTGTTTTCGGATCAATTGGCGTCTAACCAAGTGTTGTTGGGTTGTTGCTTAACGCTGAAGGTTGTGTTTTGCGTTTATTTTACTGAGATATACGTATGTCTGAGATATACTGAATATGTCGAACTACGTCGAATTTTTGGAAATATGTCGTATTTTTTATAACAACCACTTCTTTTGGTATTTTTATTTTCGGATCAATTGGCGTCTAACCACGTGTTGTTGGGTTAATGGACAGTCGGAAAATATTTAAAGCTTCCTTTATTATGGTGGTTGTGTTAGTCGTCTGATTTTCTGAGATTGAATTTTTCGTATTTCCAGGAAAAATTGTAGTTTTTTTATGACAATTTTTTTTGTCCTTTTTTAGACCCATTGATATCTAACCACATGCTATTGGCTCAGTGCATGCTCGGAAAAAACTTAAGGTTGTTAAATGCTAGTGGTTGTATTTTTCATCAGTTTTTCCTAGATTGCACTTTTCGTATTTCCAAAAAAAAAAATGATTTTTTTTCGAAGTTTGTTTCGACAGTTATTTTCATCTCCGCTTTTTTGGATGTCTGCAAGGATACGTTTTCGTAATATCCCAAGTGATGCGAAGCTCCGCTTCGCCCCTGTGTTTACTTCTTGTAACGTTCTTATTTGCATGGCCGCAAAATATTTTTCAGTTACTGTTTTGATTTGTTAATTCATTCCCGTTTATTAGAAGAGCAGGAGTAGCTTCATAGACATTTTTCTACGCTTTGGATTAAGTTATTATGAGTTTGCAATAATTCTTGTAGATTTAAATGCATTTGTATATTTTAAAGTTTCATAGTAATTTGATTGGTGTTACAAATTTTGCAAAGCTACCCTTCGCCTCTGTCTAAACTGTTTCCTTCTCACGCACTACTATGCTTGACACCTGCGATGAAATAACCCAATCCATATAATTTCATCGGGAAAACATTGGTTAAGAACGCCAACATCCCAGGAATCGTTTAGAAATTTACTGTATTTCGTTTTTGGCCTGTTTAAAAAAAAAGGCTATGTGGCAATTTTTTGAATCGTAATAGGGTCTTTATAGTTTTTTGGAGAGCGCGGAAAATTATTTGATCAACCTAAAAAAGTCTCTCAAAAGTCTCCAGTTTTTTGGAGAGCTCGGAAATTATTTTGATCAACAAAGCTGGAAATACGTTTCAAAAAAATTTTTGAAAATTTCTATTGATGCGGACGGACAATGTTAATTTCAAAAACAGACCAATAGCAAAGAAAAGTAATTCCCAAAATAATGACTTTGAAATCTGTTAATTTCATCAACTACTTCAATTTTCTTCTAAATTGAAAAGATTACAAGAGGTTGTTAGGTTGAAAGATGCTTAAAACGTTGCTCATTAGATTTGGGTGGGTAGTTTTTGAGAAAAGTCAAAAGTTTCAAAAAACAGTCAAAAATTCAACTTTTCCGAGGTCAGAATTCTTTTGCGCAAAAAAATTTGGCGTCATCGCTTATTCAGGGGAGCTTTCCACAAATTTTTCTATCCGTTTAACCTTAATTCCCAGATTTGGGAGGGTAGTTTTTCAGCACATGTAACAAAAAAATCAAAAATTTGGGTCAAAAATCCCCCCACACACTTTTTCGAAGGCTGTAGAAAGTGGGGTAAGGTAAAAAAAGAGACTAGAAGATTTTACGGCACACACGGGAGTGGGCGGACTTTATATTGGTACCATTTTTTGAAAATCGGTGCGTAGTTTTCGAGAAAAATTAAATTTTTGAAAAAAGTGAAAAGTTTTCCAAAGCGTCTTAAAAAAACCGGATCCCAATAACATTTTCATAATACCTGTTTTTATCAAACAGGAACTTTCGAAAATCTCTCCTTCCCCTCGAAAAAATTCTGGATCTCCCCTGGCCCTATCCCCATTAAAATGAAAAAAAAACTCTACTGACTTATTGCGGAAAGAACTGTTGCTAAATTAGAATATAATTAAATTTGACACCAAATAAAACCCAAAGCTTTTAAAATACACTACATTTATTTTTACACTTTACATCCTTGTGATAACGAATTTCAAAGTTAGGGATCGATTCTTTCAAATTAGTATTAGTTTAACTACAGCTTGAGTCTGTAACTGACGAGTCAGTTTGATTCAGAGAGTATCTATCGTGATGATTCAGTCCATGTGTTGATATGCCATTTCCACTGTGTTTTAACCCATCTTCTACATTTTCATCATTTGAATCATCGCTGCTATTGCCACTGTCATTTCCAACAAACATTTCCTCTCCGATTAGGCCAGATGCTCCCATGGCTACAAGACCTGCTTTTATAGCCGACATCCTCGAATCTCTATCTTTTATTTTGTTTTTCATTTTCTTAATTTTCGTGTCTTGATCGGCCAAGAGCAATAGAAGGTTATCTTGATCTAACCTCAAATCATTGAGTTCTTTTTCAATTTCTTCGTAACTTTGCTTTTCTTCGCCGTTTGGAACTTCTCCGTTAGCTCCGCCATTTACAGTCAAGTTAACTTTCGAATTTACATTGATATTGTCTAATTTCGCACTCAGTTCGGATTCATTGAAACCATTTTGAATAGTTTGATCTCTTCGACTTTCGACTAAAGTTAGACTCAGTTCCTCCACTTTACACGTCAGCTCAACTTTATCGTTTTCTAGGCTCGCAACTCGTAAATTCAACTCATTAACTTGGCTTTTCAGCGCTTCGTTGTTTGCGTTAAGGCCAGCAATTGTTTCATTCTGAGCGACTATTTGCTGATTTAAAAACTCACCACTTTGTGCCCATTGCGCATTAACCGATTCGCATTCATAAACCTTGGCTTGAAGATGTTGGATTTTCTGCTCTGGGTCAAATTTCTCATTGAAACTGGTCTGCAACTCATAGAAACTTGAGTAAATTTGTTCGTATTGTTGTTGCAAGATCGGATACTGAGCTTCGTACCATTTCAACTTTTCTTCATCGATGGAATTCGATGCATCTGAAACTTTGCTTTTTAACTCGTCAGTCAAACTTGCAATTTGATTTTGCAGTTCTGTGTTAGTCTGACTTAGTTTTCCAAACTCATTATTGTAATGTTCAACTTGAGCTTTCAATTGCGAGTTTTCTCCGAAGAGCAGTTGGTATTCTTCCGAACTTTTGACATCTTGGCAACCCATAACATTAGTCTGTGAATCACCAGCATTGTAATAACTCTGCCCATTAGCCATTGCGTATTGTTGGGCTTGCTGGTAGTACGGATAGTAATTATAATTCGATAGTAATGGTGTCGTCACGGGTTCAGGTTGCGTAGGATCTGTTTGTACATTCGCCGATGAGACTACAGGCGTTACTGTTGACATAACATCAATTTGATACTTCAAATTTTCTTTTTCCGCATTTATCTCTGCAATTTTCTGATTCAGTTCTGAAATGGTTGTTTCTCTATTTTTCAGCCAAGAATCCTGTTTTTTAACAGTATCTTTCAAACTCGCTATTTCCTGTTTCAAAGCTTCAACTTCTTTACTTGCTTCATTTTCAGCTCCCGACAGCGCGTCCAAAATTTTTGACTCAAGTGATTTAAACAGCGTCACAATTTCGAAATCGAGTATCAAATGCTCCGGACTTGAAATAGTTAAGTACGTTTTCTGAGAATTTTTCCCGAAACTTTCTGAAGTCGAAATAAGACCCATGTTTCTTCTGAACAGCTCTAAGCCCATTCTCTTTTCAATTATATGCTTCAAACCTTTTCGGTCAAACTCACAAACTGACTTATTGTCTTCGTTGTAGAGATAACAGATCCCAAGTAAAAATGCCGCGAGTGCACGCGATACATTATCTTCGTCCTTCGGGTAAACCGAAGTATCACACAGGTATGAAATGAAAAACGAAATGGCTGTCGGGATTCTTAAGAGAGAACTAACAGCAGTCGGACAGTTATGCAACCACGTGCAGAGTAAGATCATCATTCCTATTTTCGTTTGCGTTGTTGATTCGTTCTTGGTTAAAATCGACACCGCGTGTTGCATTAAGGTTACAGGCGCATTGCCTATACTAGTCGCCAGTTGAACCCGAAGTAACTTTTCCTTTTGTTTGTCATTTAAAGCGTATGAAAGTCCGACCGAGCAGAGCCAATTGCTGCATGGGTCCCTGCTAAAAAGACCTCGACATAACAGTTGCCCACTAGTAACATTACTTGTATCTACTTTCGAAGGCAAAAGTGTACTGATTATATCCGATTGTTTGTCCTCATTTCCCATAAGATAACTATGGAAACAGTACAAAATTGCAGTTCTGAGAGGCAATTTTTGTTTCTCGTTGACCATAGTCATAAGCAAGGAAAGAATCGAAGGCTTAGGTGTGGATTGCATCGTCATGACATTTTCGAAGAAATTTTGATTGGTTCGGTTATTGGCTATCAAATTACCGATACAAACTATTGCTTCAGACATCACTTTTGAATCGAGTCCTGAAGATACAACAATGACGGCCATTTTGTTCAGGACTCCGTGCTTGAACAAAATCTTCTGGTACGCTAGAATTGTCTGTTGGGGGTTCTGTGGAGATACCAAACTCTGCACCAAATGCAACATTTGCAGAACATTATTGATTTTTTGAGCTTGCCATTCTTCATTTTGTACAGTTGAAAAATTGAAAAACTTCGAAACTTGTTGCGTGTATCCACTTTCGAGGAAGAAATTCAAATTCGAACTATTTTGACTTAACAATTGATTTATCAGGTTTATGCAGTCTTCGACTACAATCAATCCATCGCTGAAACCTTCTGCTTCTATGATTCCCAAAACTTTCTCAAACACTCCTTCGAATGCAATTAGTTTTTGAAGAGGCGTATTCTGATGTGACAGGAAAATTAAGAGAATTATTGCCTCGTTTCTGATGACCTCTCTCGGGTCAGACAAAAGGTCAACGACCTTTGACACTGCTGTTGGCGAAGTCAGCACAATTTCCTGCACTTTCGTCTGCGCGTTTTCTAACAATAGGTGAATGAATCTTGCGATTGCCCAACGTAGTTGAAAATCGAAATCTTCTAAGGCTGTTAGTAGGCATGATATTACATCTTGTTGCTTGATGAACATTTCTGTAAACTGAACTCCGAGATCCTTCGGCGGACTTCCATTAGATGCTGAACTGGAATTTGTATGATAAGATGATGACGCGGTAGAATGTTCTAGAAGTTCGCTTTCGTCTTCAGTCGTGTTGGCGCCCGTTCCGTTTTCCAAACCGTTCACTTCTACATCTTCATCACACATTACATTGTACAATGTGTCCACGGTTAAGAGCTGAAACAGGAAACTGAAATGTAACTCTTTTTTACGAAAAGCTCCATCCGGAATCCAAATCATTTTCAGTGAATGTTGAAAAGAGCGTCGCCATTTCCTCATGGAATTTCTTGCACTGCTTTAAAATCGACTAATTCAATGCAGAAAAGGCAGAACTCGGTATTTTATCGCTCAGCCATAACCAGTGATGTCCATTTAAAAAAATATTTTATTTAATTTAATATTTCATTTAAATTTCAATTTGTTTAAACGTAAAATTATGAGCCCACTCAATTTAAATGAAAGATTTTAATTTGAATCGAGCAATTTAAATTTAAAAAAAAATTAAATTGCTCCTGCGGTATTCGATCTGACGCCAAAGTACAGAGTTTACTCATGATAATTAATTTCACAGTTCAGCGGAAAAAGCAAACAATCTAAATTTTAACGACAAATTTGATGATTTTTTGTAGCAAACAGATCTGCCCAAAAATTTCTTTGGATTTCTTTTCAAAAAATTGCGAAAAGTCCCCAAAAATGGCAGAAAAACTGCTGAAAAACAGACAAAAGAAAAATTTAAATCGTTTCGGAAAAATTTAAATTGATGCCAACAATTTTTATAATTTTCGTAAACAATTTTAATTTAAGTTTCAATTTTTATTTTTTTTTAAAAATGGACATCACTGACCATAACCAATAACAATTTGTTTTCCGGACAATTTGAATTTACTTTTCCAGAATCTGTCCACCGCAATCTTATATTAGTTAGATATTTTTAAACAAATTTAGATCCTCATTACACTTAATTAAAGCAAAGAAGCTTCGAATAAGCGATAGAGTAAGAAAACCTTACCGTGATTTCAGTGTCCGAGTAGTCACTCCTCAGCACCTGTGCTAGGACGGGTAGTCCCTGTGCCCCCACATGTACTCTGTACTTCCTCGAGAGTCCCTTCAGTCCCCTCACCGCATCTCTTCTGTCTTCTAGGAACTCACTGGTCGAGATCCGATCACACAGCCGCTCAACCGTGTCCAGAATATTGAACCTGAAAAGAAAGTAATGCTGAAATTGTTTTACATTTCAATATGAACCACTAATCCGCTATTTACTTTTGCGAAATTTGCCTCTTTCATTAGTTGCTTTCTTTAATTTTAAACTTTTTCCCTGTTATATTATACTCTTTTGATTGTGTTTGGCCATATGATAGCTACTATTGAACCATAAAAATATCTTTGCATTATAAAAAATGGAATTATCCAATCTTTAAATAATTCCTATATTAAGCGGACTTGCAGGTTTGTTACGATACCCAAAACCTAGAAAGTTGAGGAGCGGCTAATGCATTTGCAAGTTAGGCAAACTTACTTCTTTTTTGGTTTTGAAGATCCGAAGCCAAACATTTCAGGAATTTCTTCTTTCGTGGCTCAGTCTGAATATTCAAAAACGGCGATTTTAGCATTCAAGATCTGAAAATGCCCAACTTTATATCACCCAGCTGAAATCATCGTCAAAACGGATTCCCTGATTCTATTACACGAGCTGTTTGCAGGAATAGGCCTACCCATTGATTTGGGAACATTCTCTAATTGCAATGTACCAAAACAATGAGTACTACAATTAGTTCAACCTCTGAAAATGTTCCAAGACTTTTTGATTAAGACAGCTTTGTTAAAATTGCTAACGAAATCAGACAAAGGAAGAAGGGGTCATTAGAATCAGGTGCGGATTTAATGGGGGGGTTTGGGGACGAAGTCCTCCCCTCAACAATCAAAGGGTCCCCATTTGATATTAATTTATGACATCCATTTTCGGCGACTTAACCTAAAATTTTTCTGAAGGCGCGTTTCGTCAAAAAATTACAAAAAACTGCCCAAAAACGCACTCTGCTTCTTCAAAATTGCATGCGGCGCAGAAAACTTTGTTACAGTAGGGTCTTTATAATCTTTTTGGAGCTCTCGAAAATCAATTTGGTACGAGCGAAAACCCAAATTGGTAATCAATCGCGAAACCCCGCGATCAATAAAGCGAGACTAGGCTATATTATTCAATGGATAGGATCTTCCAAGGCATTAACAAATTTTGTGATTTGGTTCACTTTTGAGCTATCGGTAAAACTGGGCAAGTTTCCCCAATTAATTGCCGCTGAATTTTCAGCGCTATACAACGATGCTAAAATCTTTTTTCGATTAATTTTTGGCACCACCCACGTTAAGTACATGTTTACAGAAGCCTCGCATGTTTACAGTTCGTATAGCGTTAGTTTTATACAAAAAAATGAAATACATTTTCGACAAAATATTCAGAGAAAGTGTAAATTTTGATAATCCAAAAGTGTTCATCACTAATTACTGTCAGTATCTGACTGGAGTGGAAGACATCCAATAAACTGTCTCTCTCATTGGGAAAAACCTTCATTTTCATGTTTTTAAAAATAGCCAACTAACAGTTGGAAAAGAGTAATTCATGCAAGGAAACAAAAAAGACCCTTGTTTTTTTTTTTGAAAAATTTCAACTTTTGGATTTTAAAGAAAATATACATACCCTTGAAGCTCTTTGAATTTCATAATTAGATTAGTGCTTTTTTGATTAAATTGACCCAGTTTGAGACAATTGGATCGATATGTCATTTTTTTATTCAGCTGCGAAATCTGAAAATTAAAATCCACTTTGGAAACCTTTACACTTTTGTTGTTCGAAGGTGGAGTTTCCCTTCCTTTAGACAAAGGAAACGAAATGAACTTAGAAAGAAACCAAAAATAGAACCGCGAAAAAAATCACCAAGACTCATTCATTGATCTTAAAAAGAAAATGAGTGAAAGGGAGGCATACGAGGTGAAGCAATACACTATAATCCCCTTCTGAATTCTTGATATAACTTTTAATTAAATACCCAAACACCCATTATAGATTACATAATGTCTAATTTGAGAATTGAATGCGGGGTCCTTTTCTAATTTCTAACATGCTGCATCAGATTTCATTTTATAAGTTAGAATATTTTCTTATGCCTAAATGCCTGCATACAAGCTCCCTTTTTTAATCGACTAAAATTAAGTGCAAAAATTGAGTTGCCAACAGAGGCAGAAAAGATTGTTTTGATATTTACCCAATAGTCTTATCGAAATCGAAAGCTAACTTATTTGCTTTCAACTAATTACTGATATTATCAAGATCCACTTGAACATCGGAGCTTGGACAACCTAGAGCTGACAAATTAGTATCATCCGCAAACATCGATTTTATCCCATACAGCAGTCAAATCGCTTAAATAAATCTAAACACAGAGGCGAAGCTGTAATAAACTGGAAAGCGTAAAGCCACATTATGTATAGTTTATGCATTACAAAAAATCGCGATAGATTGAGCTAGAAAAATTCTGAAATCGAGTTTTCATTATTCTTATGTTTTTTGATACAAATTACTTTTTTCGGTTCATTTGATGAATTAACTGTGTTAAACTATTAGCATTCGAATAACAAGTAAATTCTATAAAAAGCTGTAAAGGTGCCCCAAAAGTGGCAACAATATTTGCGACTTAGGTTGGAAAAAAAATGTTAGCACTAATACACTCGCTTCGCAAGTGTAAGCAGAACAATGATAGCCGGTTGCTGCGCAAGTAGATACATTTTTCTGCAAATTGTATTGTTTTCTGTTCGTTCGACAATGAGCGGATTTGAACAAAGCCTAATAAATGCATTCGATAGTTAAACATATTGGACATTTTTTAATCAAATAATTAATCAAAAATTAGACCAAAAATCAAAAATTTCAAACCGGTTTTTCTCTGAACTCCGGAATTTTTTGAAAAATATTTAATAGTGTTTGAATCCCAACTAAGGGATTTAATATGATATATCACTTGATCACTTCCAACGATTATTTGTGGCAGCTGATTTTACGTTAAGAACAAAAAGTAGAAGAAAACTAACACAACCGAATACAAAGTTCCTAACCACTTTCAGTGGTCGGAACAAGTAGAAGGCATCAGTCATCAACACTTTTCTGACAAAAATTGAATTTTTTCTAGGTTAGATCAATTTGAGCTGACCTTGCAAAAATGACACAAAGGCGAAGCTGAGCTTCGCGCCACTATGATTAAAATTAAATAAGAAAAATAAAAAAAATTGAATAAAAACCTTCAAAACATCATTTTGTCAATTGAAAGTGCAACAAAAGCCTAAAATATCAGAAAAAAATATCTGCACCATTAGAAACTATACAACTCATTCTCGACTGAAATCGAACTCGCGAGCTTTGTCTTCCCAATGATAGGTGTTACAAAAAAAAGTCGGGCTACGTGAACTAAGCCAACAAAAGTAACCACAGAGGCGAAGCTGCATGTTTGCAAACATGAGCGAGAACGCAGCTAAGATTCAGGAGCTGTGAAAATGCACAAAAACTCAGTGTTAAAATTTAATGAAACGTATGAAGAACCAGATTTGGATTTAATTTTAAGTGAAGGAAGTTAGCAAATAACGGAACACGATCCAATAACATCTAATCACAACTTATTCAGACAAACCACGATGCTATCGCGTATTGTCTTTCTCAGCAGTTCGCTTTTGCATCCTACCACATTGGTGTAGTCTTCGCCCAGAATCACTATGCAATCAGGGTCATCTACGGTGCGACCTAAGCAGACCAGTAAAATCAATAATGACTAGCATAGCCAGCACATTAATCTCCGACCACAGCTATCATTGCAAATTTTTGGTAGGGGAAAAATTAGACATGATTTATTTTAAATCCAGTTGAAACGTATATTCTGAAAACAAAAAACGTTTCAACCAGTTTTTACTGTCATACACTTACCCGCAGCAATTTTTTTAAAGAGAAAATATTCGGACCAGTTTTTATCAACACTGATAGAGCTTTTTTGAATGAAATTCCTCTGCAATAAGGGGGAAAAATGAAGTACATTGTCCATTAACAAACTTTTAATAAATAGGGCAGCAAAAATGTTGAAATTCAATTTCTTCAAACTTGAAATATAATTTAAATTTTTGATTGTTTTTAAAAACTTTCAAGATTTTTCAGCCGCCATCATTAAATTTGCGACATTCATACGGACAAAAGTCATTTCGTTAAAAATCGAGATTAGTTTAAGTAGGCTTGCTTTACTGTTACGTTTTTTTAAACCAACCCAAAAAATAATGGCTTATCGCATGTGATTCAATAACTGGAGTAAATTGACGTAAACGATTTCAAAGGTGCAAAAATGGTTATGGTTTTAAAGGTTACGGTTAACAGATTTCAGTGTTAGAATGTATTCCAGCAAAAAAATCATGTAGTGTAAAAATGGTGGATAAAAAATGGGGTAAAAAAGGATCCTGAAAAGCTTTCAACTTCATCAAGCTTTGATTTGCGTCCACCATTATTGCTTCGAGCCTACTGTAATCTGCACCTGAGAAACGCACACAAACTTTTACCTAGGACTATCAAGATTCCAAGACGATAGTGGCACTATTTTGCAACGATTTATAAACTCATAAGGACTCACCAATAGTTACCATTCTTTCGTTTTTGTTTCCTTTCGTGCTCACATACTTCTCAACTTTAACCTCAGTCACCTCTCGCAACCTCAACTCCTTCACGAACTCCTCAACCTTGACCTCTCCCCACAAAAACGGCTTCGGAATCTGTTTTTCTGGCACTTTGTCCAGCGCCACGTCTTTGATTGAAGCTCTGTGGTTGTTCAACTGGAACTCGCCAATCAGTGGAATTGTAGCTGTTTTGTTTTTGTCCAATGTTTCCAGCTTGCATTTCTGTGCCAATTTATGTTCTATTTTAACCATTTCAAATGCTAGAGAGTCGTTTATTTCGCAGCTTTCAGCTCTGCTTAATGCTTGAATGTGTGAGAGATCACAAATACTGGTGGTCATCGCTCCTGTTTGCACTTCCGAGTTCTAAACATGGTAAGAGTCATTAGTTACTCGGATATACTTAAATTAATACTATCATGAGTATCTGGATAGCACTCTTGAGGTCTTGTTATTTGCCTTCCATCATGCTTGTTCTTCTAGACCCATCCATGCATGGGTCTTAATGTAGATCGGGGATTTACGTAAAAATTGTTAAAAAAAAAGGCAGTCGGGGAAATATCACAAAGGCGAAGCTGCACGTTGCAAACACAAGCGAAAAAATGGCGAAAGTGGGCGATAGCTCTAAAGGGTTCAAAAAGTGAAGAAAAATGAATGAAAAGATAAAACCAACAAAAATTCTGCAAGGTTCCGGAATGAAATCCCCCCCCCCCCGACTTCGATATTAAAAGGCACCTGTTCGCCAATATTTTCAAAATTTTCTGATGCCAAACGTAATTCGTAATATTCATAGTGACCGAAATTAGAAACTTTCCAAATCCATAGCTGATTCCCATCAACAGTACGGAGAAAACACTTTTGAGGTGAAGATAAAAAAATAACTTCTTCTTTCAGAAATGGCACAATATTGTCTATAGCTGATTCCTTA